AACTATTTACAGTTGCGGATTAATACATATTTGGTGGAGTAGTTAGCCGAGTATTTACAGAAGTAGAACTATGTGTGATTGTCCTAAAATAAACGACATTGTTTGTTTGAAAGAACTTGTCAACCTCTCAATACTTTCTAACTTCCTCACCCTGCCTCTGGCACTTACATTTAGTTTTATATTTAAATGTAATTTATTTAGACTGCTGGGATTTATAGTGTTTAGTAACAGGTTTTTTTATCTGGAAAGGGTATTGATATTGATTAATACACATATGCTGGAGTGGTTAAGTATTTATAGAAGTAGGAGTGTGTATTTGGGATTCACGCAAAAACTACATTGTGTGTATTTTACGTATCAAAGGAGCATGTCTGATGTTGCAATGGTTTGGCTCATTGATGTGATTTTAATGGAGGTCTATGTCACAGAGAAGACTGACCCAATTGCATAAATAGAACAATTCAGTCCTGCCTGTCACTGATCTGAGTTGAGCACGTTTGAGAAAAGGAATGCAGAAAAACAAATCGTACTCCAAAACTGTCACTTCTATCATGTTACCACACCAAACTTACATGAGGAATTTTTTTTTCGACACTTTGGAAAGAAATGTCGCTCTCTAACATTTGAACACACCCAGAATGCAGTTGGGTTAGCGAGCTAGGTTGGCTGTATACATTCACTCATACAAACATGTAAGGATGTCCATGTGTCTCAAGGGAAGAAGATGAAGGAAGTCCCCAAAAAGACATCTTAAAACACACTTCTCTCTTGTCTCCTGTCACCTTGCTTCCTGTGAAAACAAAGACAGAACTTTTTAATGACATGCATATATATTGTGCAGAAATGTTGAGGTGTTGGGATTCACTTTAAAGGCAGCAGCTGACAGCTCAAACGCTTTTGTTATCAGATGCTTTGAAACCAAACCTGCCGCCCCCTGTGACAGCTTGTTTGAGTTATGGCAAAGTGAATTACTGTAAGACTGCTTAGCGTGTGTGTGTTTGTGTGTGTGTGTGTGTGTGTTTGTGTGTGTGTTTGTGTGTGTGTGTGTGTGTACTTAACATCTGCTTGTGTGTCTGTTTGAGTTAGGGGGACCTCTGCCATTGTTGAGCTTTTACATCCTGACAACTGGGAGCTTGATGTTAAAAATAACCGAGTGCTTTCCAATTTTGTCATCTTTTGGGACTTGCTTCTCCCGGCTGTTTTGATTTAGCGTGCGTCCCCCTGGAATGCTTGGGGTCACCGACGGCCACTTCCTGTCGCATGGTTCCTCATTGTCGCGCTCGCAACTGTCCCTAAAGATATTTAAACATGCTCAAAAATAGGACACCTGGGCGAGGAAAGGCTTTGGCTGTCACATTTCTCACTAGGTGTCCCAGCTTAAAAACTGTCAGTTAAATACAGCTGTTTTTTTTCTTCTCCTTTAATCTCAGGATTATCTTTTACCTCCATTGATTTTTTTTAGAAAGAAAATCGGTTCACGAAGAGTTCTCCTCACATGATGAACAGATTTAGGCCACGAGTAAAGAAATAAGTGACAATTAAATAAAAAGGATATGTCTCTGCTAAACAAAGAAAGTTAGATTCAGTACAAATGTGCAGTGTGTATGTGTCCGTGTAAAACACAAGTCAAGTATTTGTTCCTGTACCAAGCAGCCAAATAGATATGCATGCTATGCAAACAACAGGCTATGTAAACTGCACTGGTAGGCTAAGCAAATGCATTATGTAACTCGCTGTGAAGCATCAGATGCTTTTTGAGTATAGACAAAAAGGACACTGTTGAGATAAGGCTGATTTGAGAAAGAGCCTTATTGTGTGGATAATCTTTCTTGTCACTGATAGACACACATTTAGCATAGCTTGAAAATGAAGTGATAGCAGTGCTCGATATTTGTGTTTATACACCGGACACGTTTGGTAAAGGTTTAACAGGAAGATTCTTGTGGTCAGAGCAGGATGGTTTTCTAATTGGTCAAAAACACTATTTAAATATTTATATCAGAAACACATCGTCATGTTAACAGGTGGAGCCATTGTGGTGTCACCCAGTTCAATCAAATGACTGTGTCTGAACAACACTGTTATCCAACCTCTGGCACGGCTCCCCGATGAGGCCGGTCCAGTTTCTTCGCTGGTTTCTTCATTTGACATGGGCACTCTCCCCAGTGTCCACTCATCCAAACTTAGCCCGGGCACACGTCCAATCAGATGCCTCCTTTTGCTTATTCTGCAAATTGCCAAGAGGCAACTCTATAACTAACGTGTCAAGTCTTGTTTCAGTAAACAGATCCAACATCAAGAACCCAATAGAATCGCAACATGGTATACACTTTACTGTACATGTTGATGTATACACTTTTTTTGTACATGCGCCCAAAATAGTTAGGACATGTTTGCAGTATTTGAGTATAGTGAAATAATTTTACAATGTGCTTTAAACATTTATAAGGATTTAAAATATATACATACAGTTTTCTATATTTCCTAGACCTGTGTGTTAAGTATGTTGCTAAAAACATGGGGGCAATTAACCTGCCTTAGCACACAGACTGGTAACAGATAAACAGCTAGCTTGGCTCTGTTTAAAAGTAACCAAAATACTTTCATTTGTTTCACTTTGGCTGAATGATGACATGAAATAACCTAGATATAAAGTATCAATGAGTGAGTGAGCTTTTTAAAATGCTCTTTGATAAATTGATAAAGCCAGACTAGCTGTTTGTAGCTGGTTAGCTTAGCGTAGCATGGAGTCTGCAGACTCCATGCTACGCTAAGCTAAGCTAAGCTAACCAGCTACTGGCTCAAGCTTCATAAATAACATACAGACTCAAGCTTCATAAATGACATACAGACAAGAGAGTGTCATTAACTCTTAGCAATCATTTGAAAATTGTTGTTGAACTAATACTTTAACAGCAACAGATAATTTGCACATTTTCTAAACGTTTTGACACTAAAAGGTATGGAGCATTTGAAGTAGTCAACCAAGATGTCGAGTCAGCCTTTCTGACGCTCCACCACTTTTTGATATTTCTACTTGTCTCTTAATTACAATTTCTATTTGTTTCCTGGTGGCATTTCTGTCGTTCTCTGACTGAGAAACTCCTCTCATTGCTACTCTCTGATACGTGAGTTGCTGACTAATACTTGTTTGGGTGTCCCTTGGCTGCTGAGTAACTTTGTGTTTGGTCTGAACCAGTTGCCAAACAGGGAGTGTCATTATTTGTTGGTTCTTGGACAAAGATTTGGCACTCCTGGGATTGAGGCTAATGCTTTAGGTGTGTGTGTGTGTGTGTGTGTGTGTGTGTGTGTGTGTGTGTGTGTGTGTGTGTGTGTGTGTGTGTGTGTGTGTGTGTGTGTGTGTGTGTAGTGTGTGTGTGTGTGTGTGTGTGTGTGTGTGTGTGTGTGTGTGTGTGTGGTGTGTGGTGTGTGTGTGTGTGTGTGTGTGTGTGTGTGTGTGTGTGTGTGTGTGTGTGTGTGTGTGTGTGTGTGTGTGTGTGTGTGTGTGTGTGTGTGTGTGTGTGGTGTGTGTGGTGTGTGTGTGTGTGTGTGTGTGTGTGTGTGTGTGTGTGTGTGTGTGTGTGTGTGTGTGTGTGTGTGATGTGTGTGTGTGTAGTGTGTGTGTGTGTGTGTGTGTGTGTGTGTGTGTGTGTGTGTTGTGTGTGTGTGTGTGTGTGTGTGTGTGTGTGTGTGTGTGTGTGTGTGTGTGGTGTGTGTGTGTGTGTGTGTGTGTGTGTGTGTGTGTGTGTGTGTGTGTGTGTGTCATTGAGACAGTTTGGCACCCGTCCAGCTTGAACTGTCCATGGCTTGGAGGACTGGAAGTAATGGGCTCATTTCCCCAGTGGGACTGAATAAAAACAAGAGGGTCTGCCTGGGGACGCTGCAGGAATGACAACAAGAGAGTTCAGCACTTAGTGGACGGCAGCTTTGAATAGATGCTTTATATGATGTTGTTGTTGTTGTTAGCACTGCATTTGAGATATTAGAGATAACAGCCACAACTGAATCACTTTAATTAGATGCATCACTGCACTGTATTTACAAATGTAATATTTGAAAATTGAGTTAACCTTAGATGACTGAGGGACTCGATGGGGGGCTAATTTTATACTCACCGTCACTCGCTACCTTTCTAATGCACAATTGTGAATGTTAAGCACACAACCGTGTATTGTTAGTTTAAAAAAGCATCTTAAAACTGCTCAAAAACATTTATTTCCTCATTCCAAATCAATCAAGGAAATGGCTTTCATTTTGATAAATTCCTGTGAGACTTATGGTACACTCTCCTTGGAAAACAAAGTCATGTGAGGAATACCAGCTTCTTACTGTAAGGTGTTATTTTGTTGCTGCTTTTTTTTTTTTACCCTGCCATTCAAAACACCTAGCATTTAGATCACACAACCAATTTCTATTGATCAAATACTAAAATATTTTCATTATCCATTATCTACAGAGTATTTTCAAAATGACATGATTAGTCATTTGGTTTAGAAAACAGTGAGCTAGTCCTTGTTCTTCCACTGCCCATTACAATTCAAATGTCAGCCAAATATATTTTTGAATTTCTAACTAAAGGGCCTGGACCAATCAAATAATTGGCCTTTTGCATTGAAGAAAGGTCAATGCATTTCTGTCTGGCAACTGCTACCAAACATGCAAACACATCCACATTCTACAACAATTGGTGCGTGATTATCTTTTGTCTCTCTTACATGAAACTATTTGTTGGCAAAATGTGCAACAAGCCTAAGTTTCATTACATAACAGCAATTCCTTGGCAGTCATGTTGTTTTGGATTCTTTGGTAACGATTATGTAGGCTTGTAAAACCTGCAGATCCTGCTCTAACTAAAAGTCGAGGAAGTGTGCTAATCGCTAACCTGTTTGTTCCTGAGTCATAATAATTGGACATGTCATCATCCTGCCAACGTCCTCTTGCTTCTTGTTAGCCTTCGCCCTGACCCTTCCTCTCTTACCTGATGTTTTTGTCCCCTGCAGACCCCTGTCTCATCGTGATTCCGCCATGCATGGGCGAGGAGGACCGCTTCAGTCTGGATGCGCTGCGGCACATCCACAAACAGCTGGACGACGACAACGACGGGGGAATAGAAGTCAACGAGAGTGTGGAGGTGAGCTTTGGGGTTTAGGGTCGTTAAAGGGGACACTCAGGTTCAAAGTGTTGCCTGGAAACACACGACTATGCACCTGGGTTGTAAACAACACCTAAAAATGGCAATTTTGTGTCACCACGATTTTCATGTTACCGGTGTTTTGTAGCTCATTAGTTAACCAAACCAAACTTGTAAATGACAAGGGTGTTGTCACAAGAATATGATTCATACATGTACATATTGATATAACAGTGAGTAACAGCTTGTGGCAGCGTGTCAAGCTATGTAGCTATCCTAAAAAGTCAAAGGCATTTTATTATTAAGCAGTTAGTCATCGCAGGAGAGAAACTGGTGTCAGCATTTTTCACATAGTGACACATCCTCAGAAACACACGCTGGCATTTAGACCGAAAATATGCTAATATTTAAAGCAAATTAGCATATTTCTTTGATATTTGTCATGGTTTATGGATTTTAATTTATATGGATGCATCCACAACTATACTCACACTTTATCACCATTTCCTTTGAAATGGGTGTCTTATATCAAGGATTCATAGATATATTTATCATAAGCACAAACTCTACAGTTTAGTCGTTGGCAACGAGAAAGTCTTAGGCTCCTCCAACAAACCATCATGCAATATACTTAAAATAAAATAAAAATACATACAATAGGGCAATAAAAAAGTACAATACATTGGTCATGAGAAAACCTTGATATTTTTGCGTTTAAATTACAGTAAAAGCATATTTAGACGCATACAGTTCTTGTAAGGTCCTAACTAGGGATGTAGTTGAAGTATGGTGGTAGTTACACTGGTTGTGTGTTTTCTTTGTGCATGTGTGTGTGTGTGTGTGTGTGTGTGTGTGGGTGGGTTGTCTGGAGAGACGAGGGACAGGTTTCTCTGAGTAACTAGAGGGGTAAAACTGACATCTGAGAGTACTCTGACCTGGCGTGGCCCTGGCGACTCTCGGTAATCAACGACCTCTTACGTTCTAAAGAAACCACTCTGGACCACGGTTACATTCTGTGTGTGTGTGTGTGTGTGCGTGCGTGCGTGTGTGTGTGGTGGGTTGGTAGGAGTCATTTTTAACTGGCTGAGAAGTGCTGGTGTGAGAAACAGTTATACCCCTCAGCCCTTCGGTGGCCCCTCGGTAAAGAGCTGGACGCCTTATGAGTCGCGTCTAAAGACCCCTGAGGGTCAGTGTGAGAACTGGCCCCCTGCCCACACCAAGGCGACGTGCGACTGCATATTTCACCGACGCCTGCATGTACTCTAACGTATAAGAGTATGTTACACCCTTTGTCTTTATAAGGGCAATGAGCTGTGTCCATCTCTCTCCAACAGTTGTTTTTGGCCAACGCTCATTACTGAGGATTTCCAAGCGTCTTATTTGGGACCCTGGCAGCGGCTGAGCGGGGTTTCACAACATGATGGATGCTGCTTTCACCAAATGAGTGTCCGTCTATCAGTTAGTTAAAGGAAAGGCGCACATTGTCTCTGGACCGGTAGCTGAAACTACTAAAAGGGGATTTTATCTGTCAGGTTTCCTCATATTAAGTGATAAGGGTTTGTGTTTTAGTCTCTTGCTGATAAAGGGCTGTCTGGAGTACATTCTCATAACTTGTCATTAACTCCCTCAGAGAAAATGACTCTCATTAAGAGTCTTTAGGGTACTTTGAATCAAATGTCTCCAAAAAAATACCAACTAGAATCAATGCTTTCCCATTTAAACAATGTTAAGTACATTTAAATCAATTGTGATTTTGTCTTCTCCTGTCCATGTCGATATGTCTTCAAGCAAGACACGAAACACCCACTGTGTTTGCATGTGCCTTGTTTACTGTCAATTTCCTGTTACTGTCAGTCTCTTCCTGGCAGTGATAAATTGAAGGCAGTGACACAGTTTTATGAAGGAGGGTGGCAAGTGCAAGGCCGGGGGGGGGAAGTCAGCCCGATCTGGCCTTCTGGGGACGAGACCTCTTTGGCCCCTTACCCCCCTGGTTGTAACCTGACCCCCCGCTGGCACTTGTTGCTAGTTTACTCCCACCTATTTTTCCCAAACTCGCGAGGATGACTAAGATGCGAGGATGCATTTGTAACGTTATAGCCGTGGTCCAGTTTTTCATCACTCGCATTTCAGAGATTCTTTTTGCTGGTGGTAAAAAATGATGTGAGGTCGGGGGAGATTTATGGTGACAATTAGCAGCATGTTCAACAGTAAAATATTATTTTGGGCAAAAGGCCAATCTGGTGGAAGATGAAAAGGACGGTTTTATGTGTTTTTGAAAGTATTAATTTTTTCAATCCATTTTGGTCTTTGTGGTTAAAAGAAATATAGGATTATTAAAACGTTTTGTTCTACCTATTTAAGTAATTGTAAAAACAAAAATTCAAAGAAATAAAATGTAATAGGTTAACCCTAAATGGGAATATGTAATATATTTTATGATGGTAAATGTTACGCTCCCGATAAATAAAACCAAATGTAATCATTTATTTTCAATAAATGTAATATATTCTTGACAGAAAAAGACAACCTTGCAAGCATCTTCACACACTTATTTATAATTATTTAATGCAGGTAATTTATCATGTATTTGTACATGTGATACAGTAACCAGACACCTTAAGTCTTACATAAAAAGATCTGACTAATAAAACATTGTATTTGCCGAAGCTAAGCCTATTTCAACTTACATAAGTAGTTTGTTTAAGCAATGAAATGAAAACAAATACAATTCACATTAACCGTTTACAAAGCGACCTTATCAGCGAGTCACCTGGCAGCGCTGAAGAGTTACATTTGTTTTACTCTTAAAATCCCGCTGTAACTTAACAACTATCAGTGTTGCTAAGTTACCGGGAAATGATCTCTCTCTGACATATTTAAACCTAGCAATGTTTCACAGTTTATAAAAGCACACATATAACGTACACGCACACAGATTGCTTTGATGTAAACTGAGTCATTCTTGCTGCAGCATGTGACAATGTTTAATCACACCACTGACGTATATCAATAATTGCTGTCAGTTATAATGGGCCATACACAAAAAGAGCACCCATTGATGTGTACTTAAATATATTGGCACTGTACAATGGTGAGCAAACACGGATGTGGAGCGGCCAACGAGTTCCACTTCCCTTTACGACTACAGTACTTACTGACATGTTGCGTCACAGAGCTATCACTATGGCTGTATATATTAAAAAAAAAAAGGCTTTGGCTGCTTGTGAAGTTCATATTTGTTTACTTTCTTGGTCAGAATCAATTGGAAAAGGTTGATTATTAGATACACAATGCCAATTTACCAGCTTTGCCATAAACTTGGAGCGTGTATAAGAGTAGTTTTGATCAAATACCTCCATTTCCTGACAGTATTGTTGGGTTGACGATTGATGAAACGCAATATTGACACAATGTAAATAGTGATACAAAATAATGTTGATTTCTGGAGGTAGAGGCAAATAATAGAACTACAAGAACAGTCTACAAAAAACTTTAAATTACATCACTTCACTGTAATGTAGCCTTTAAAAATGTTGATGCATACACCTACTACTTTATTATACTATCTCCAAAATCCAATACGTTATCTAATCTCACATCACAATATCAATATTCGATACTTTTCCCAGCCCTGCATACACTCCCATGATTTTATGATATTTGAGTTGGTGTCAAATAAAGTGTATTTATAAAGTCTCTTGAGGGGTGGTGTGGGGGAGTCACAGGGCGGCAGGTGCACGTCCTCTCCTCGGGGTGCTGGGATTTGGGCGATCCGTGTGCCAAGGAGACACTCGGTTAGATGGTGTTGCATCACTTTGAAATCACAAGAACCCAACTAACGTCACAGCAGGGCCCAATGTCTTTGTGTGTGCGTGTGCGTGTGTGTGCGTGTGTGTGTGTGTACTTTATTAATCCTTGACACGCCATGTGTAGCAACCTGGGTGAACAATTAGGCTTGCATGTGAGTTCTTCATCTGTGCAGGCATGTTGTAGACATGACTCACTGGAGTTTGGGCGGGTAATGAACAGAAGAAACTTGAGGAGCGTCTAGGGCGATACAGTTGTATCTGTAGAAAGGAGATTTGAGAAGGTGTTTGTTGACTTGTCTGGGAATGTTCTAGAGGGAACAAGAGCAGTGACGGACTGGCCATCGGGACGTTCGGGACGAATCCCTATGGGCCGGTACTGAAGTGGGCCGGTCGGACGATGTGGGCCGGTCGGATCAGTCACTAGCACACCCCCCCCCCCTCCGTTGACAATTTACTAGCGGTATTTACTTGCGGTACCGAGGTGGGCCAGTCGGATGAGCCACTAGCATAACCCCCCCCCCCCGCCCCCCCCCGTTGAGAATTTACTAGCGATACGAAAGTGGGCCGGTCCCAATATCGAAATATCAGTAATCTGTATTGTGGCGTAGGGCCTTACAATGATGTGTATACGTATGACAACAATCACAGTTTTCACAACAGTAGTAGCTATTCAATCAACAACCAGTGACGCTTTCAATGGACAAATGACAGATACTGTAATGGATCATTTTATATATACCAACCGCCCTGATTCAAAACATGGACGAATACTAGTTGCATGGATATATTATCAGGATTTACCCCCTCTAAAGCGAAATAATTAGGACCTCTGCCACATTTTTATGAAGCCTAGTGTTTATTTGATATGGGCAAGTGAACATTTTCTTCAATCAGAGCACATTGTGATGCAAAGACAGCCACTTTGATCTTGGGCAAAGCAACACGCCTCACTGAAAATCAGGGAAAGCACGAGGAAGACCTTATCGTACGGGGGTTGTTTCACAACCCAGCGTGCCCAGTTGTCTTTTGTGATGAATCAGTTGTGCTCCGAATTGCTCTCACGTTACATAAATCAAAAACAGCTTACCTTTTGTCCCGAAATAATAACATTGACTACAATAAATCAATCAAGCCTGCACTTTCAAACTACTGACGGGTTTGACTAATGTTGATGTGTGCTGTTGAAGCAGA